CGGTCTCGGTGGCTTTCAGGTCCAGGCTGGGCAGGGGAGGAAGGCTCACCACCGTCTTCCTCCGGATCCCCCCGTAGCAGTACGTGGGGAGGAAGAGTCAAGGATTTGGGAATTCCCAACCGGGATAAACGGAATAAAAACGGGAAGAGACAGCGGGAGAACCCTCAGGAATGGGGGGAAAATGGGGGAAATGGGGAAAGAATGGGGGGAAATGGGAAAAGAATGGGGGAAAATGGGAAAAAAGTGGGGAAAAATGGGAAAAACTGGGAGAAAATGGGAAAAAAGTGGGGGAAAATGGGAAAAACTGGGAGAAAATGGGAAAAAAGTGGGGAAAAATGGGAAAAACTGGGAGAAAAATGGGAAAAAAGTGGGGGAAAATGGGAAAAATTGGGAGAAAATGGGAAAAAAGTGGGGAAAAATGGGAAAACTGGGAGAAAAATGGGAAAAAAGTGGGGAAAAATGGGAAAAATTGGGAGAAAATGGGAAAAAAATGGGAGAAAATGGGAGAATATGGGAAAAGAATGGGAAAAAGCTGGGGGAAAATGGGAAAAATGGGAAAAAACTGGGGGAAAATGGGAAAAAACTGGGGAAAAACTGGGAAAAATGGGAGAAAATGGGAGAAAATGGGAAAAGGATGGGAAAAAATGGGAAAGAATGGGAAAAGTGGGAAAAATTGGGAAAAGAATGGGAAAAAATGGGAAAGAATGGGGAGAAGTGGGAAAGAATGGGGAAAAGTGGGAAAAAATGGGAAAAGAATGGGAAAAAATGGGAAAGAATGGGGAAAAGTGGGAAAGAATGGGAAAAGAATGGGAAAAATGGGAAAAGAATGGGAAAAAATGGGAAAAATGGGAAAATAATGGGAAAATAATGGGAAAATAATGGGAAAATAATGGGGAAAAACCAGAATAAATGGGAAAAAAAAAAAAAACAGGGAAAAAGCTGGGGAAAATAGAAAAAAAACCAGGAAAAAAACCAGGAAAAAAAACTGGGAAAAAACAGGGGAAAAAAAAGAGAAAAAATGGGGAAAAAAACCAGGGAAAAGCTGCGGAAAATGGGAAAAAAACGAGAAAAAAACCAGGAAAAAAAGGGAATAAAAGGGCAAAACCAGGATAAAACGGGAAAAGCAGCAGGAATTGCAGCAGGGGAAGGATATTTGGATTGTCCTCGGCCTCCCAGGCGCCGGGCTTTGATGTTTGGGAAGATTTCCCGGATGATTTTGCCGAAATTGGCCGTGCTCAGGGGGCGGCAGCCGAGGTTGTCACAGTAACGCCTGAGAGAGGGATGGGGGGAGAAAAGGGGGAAATCCTGGGGTATTCCAAGGGAATTCCAGGGGTGGGGGATGTTTGTGGGATGTGGGATCTGGGATTTGGGATTTGGGATATGGGATGTGGGATTTGGGATGTGGGGTTTGGGATTTGGGATATGGGATTTGATATTTGGGATTTGGGATTTGAGATTTGGGATTTGAGATTTGGGGTTTGGGATTTGGGACATGGGATATTTGGGATTTGGGATGTGGGATTTGGGATTTGGGATATGGGATGCAGGATTTGGGATTTGGGATATGGGATTTAATATTTGGGATTTGGGATTTGAGATTTGGGATTTGGGATATGGGATATGGGATATTTGGGATTTGGGATGTGGGATTTGGGGTTTGGGATTTGGGATATGGGATTTGATATTTGGGATTTGGGATGTGGGATCTGGGATGTGGGATATGGGTTATGGGATTTGAGATTTGGGGTTTGGGATTTGGGATATGGGATATTTGGGATTTGGGATGTGGGATTTGGGATTTGGGATGTGGGATATGGGATGCAGGATTTGGGATGCAGGATTTGGGATATGGGATATTTGGGATTTGGGATGTGGGATTTGGAGTTTGGGATTTGGGATATGTGATTTGGGATATGGGATATGGGATTTGGGATATGGGATTTGGGATTTGGGATGTGAGATTTGGGATATGGGATTTGGGGTGTGGGATTTGGGATGTGGGACATGGGACACCAGGCCATGGGGACACCAGGACACCAGGCCATGGGGACACCAGGCCATGGGGACACCAGGCCATGGGGACACCAGGCCGTGGGACACCAGGCCATGGGGACACCAGGCCATGAGGACACCAGGCCATGGGGACACCAGGCCATGGGGACACCAGGCCACCAGGCCAGCAGCCCATGTGCCACAGCCCCTGGGCTCACTTGTAGGCGTCGTAGACGTCCTGTTTGGGCAGGCAGGTGTCCGTGTGCTCCTCCAGGTGGTTGCGGATCCAGCTGCAGGCGTGCATGTGCTCGGCCGTGCCCAGCGCGCTCAGCTCCAGCGAGGAGCTGCTGCTGCTGCTGCTGCTGCTGCTGCTGCTGCTGCCAGCGCGTCCCCAGCGCGTCCCCAGCGCGTCCCCACGGGGCGCGGGAGAGAGGGGAGGCTGTCAGTGTCACTGCGCTGGCGCCGGTGGGACGGATCTGTTCTGGTCTGTCCCAAGGGATCCATCCCATCCCATCCCATGGATCCCATCCCATCCCATCCCATCCCATCCCATCCCATGGATCCCATCCCATCCCATCCCAATGGATCCCATCCCATCCCATCTCAATGGATCCATCCCAGTCCATCCTGTCCTGATCCATCCCATGGATCCCATCCCATCCCATCCCATCCCATCCCAATGGATCCATCCTGGTCCTTCCTGTCCTCATCCATCCCATCCCATGGATCCCATCCCATCCCNATTAATAATCAATTATTAATAATTAATAATAATTATTAATAATTAATAATAATTATTAATAATGATTAATGATTAATGAATGATGAATTCTTGCTGATGTGGGCCCTGACCTGAGCAGCTCGGGGTAGAAGAGCCGGTCCCAGGCGCTGTACAGGGAGGTGCTCACGTAGAGCCGCCGCCCGTCCAGGCTCAGCTGCAGCATCTGCGGCCCCCCCGGCACCTTCCTGCCCTGGGAACCCACAGGAAACCAATCAATCCATTAATCAATCAATCAATCATCCCACAGGAAATCAATCAATCAATCATCCCACAGGAAATCAATCCATCAATCAATCAATCAATCATCCCACAGGAAATCAATCAATCAATCCATCAATCAATCAATCATCCCACAGGAAATCAATCAATCAATCAATCATCCCACAGGAAATCAATCAATCAATCAATCAATCAATCCATCAATCATCCCACAGGAAATCAATCAATCAATCAATCAATCCATCAATCAATCAATCATCCCACAGGAAATCAATCAATCAATCAATCAATCATCCCACAGGAAATCAATCAATCATCCCACAGGAAATCAATCAATCAATCATCCCACAGGAAATCAATCAATCATCCCACAGGAAATCAACCAATCAATCATCCCACAGGAAATCAATCAATCCATCAATCATCCCACAGGAAATCAACCAATCAATCATCCCACAGGAAATCAATCAATCAATCCATCAATCAATCATCCCACAGGAAACCAACCAATCAATCATCCCACAGGGAATCAATCAATCATCCCACAGGAAATCAATCATCCCACAGGAAATCAATCAATCCATCCATCAATCAATCATCCCACAGGAAACCAACCAATCAATCATCCCACGGGGAAATAAATCCCACTGGGAATCATCCCACACGGAAATCATTCCTCATGGAAAATCAATCCCACTGGGAAAATCCCAGGGAGACGGGAATGGTCCCCCTGGATCCAGGGCTGTGTCCGGCCAGGGGGGATGGAGCCGATCCCAAGGGGGGATTTGGGAAAGATCCAGGGAAGGATGGAGCCGATCCCAAAGCGAGATTTCGGAAGGATGGAGCGGATCCCAAAGGGGGATTTCGGAAGGACGGAGCCCATCCCAAAGCAGGATTTGGGAAGGATTTCAGGGAAGGATGGAGCGGATCCCAAAGGGGGATTTTGGAAGGATTTCAGGGAAGGACAGAGCTGATCCCAAGGGGGGATTTGGGTAGGATCCAGGGAAGGACAGAGCTGATCCCAAAGCAGGATTTGGGAAAGATCCAGGGAAGGACAGAGCTGATCCCAAGGGGGGATTTCGGAAGGACAGAGCTGATCCCAAAGCAGGATTTGGGAAGGATTTCAGGGAAGGATGGAGCGGATCCCAAAGGGGGATTTTGGAAGGATTTCAGGGAAGGACAGAGCTGATCCCAAGGGGGGATTTGGGTAGGATCCAGGGAAGGACAGAGCTGATCCCAAAGCAGGATTTGGGAAAGATCCAGGGAAGGACAGAGCTGATCCCAAGGGGGGATTTCGGAAGGACAGAGCTGATCCCAAAGCAGGATTTGGGAAGGATTTCAGGGAAAGATGGAGCCAGTCCCAAGAGGGGATTCGGGAAGGACAGAACCCATCCCAAAGCGGAATTTTGGGATTTTTCAGGACCCACCTG